TGTCCAATGTCTGTGTTCTTTTGCCCATATTAATCTTTTTCTTTTATTGGCCAGTCTCAGATATGGCTTTTTCTTTGCCACTCTGCCCTGAAGGCCAGCATCCCGGAGTCGCCTCTTCACTGTGGGTGTTGACACTGGCGTTTTGTGGGTACTATTTAATGAAGCTGCCAGTTGAGGACCTGTGAGGCGTCTATTTCTCAAACTAGAGACTCTAATGTACTTATCTTCTTGCTCAGTTGTGCAGCGGGGCCTCCCACTTCTCTTTCTACTCTGGTTAGAGCCTGTTTGTGCTGTTCTCTGAAGGGAGTAGTACACACCGTTGTAAGAAATCTTCAGTTTTTTGGCAATTTCTCGCATGGAATAGCCTTCATTTCTAAGAACAAGAATAGACTGTCGAGTTTCACATGAAAGTTCTCTTTTTCTGGCCATTTTGAGCATTTAATCGACCCCACAAATGTGATGCTCCAGATACTCAACCTGCTCAAAGGAAGGTCAGTTTTATAGTTTCTCTAACCAGCTAAACTGTTTTCAGCTGTGCTAACATGATTGCACAAGGGTTTTCTAACCATCCATTAGCCTTCTCATGCAATGAGCAAACACATTAGAACCATTAGACCATTGGAGTGATAGTTGCTGGAAACGGGCCGCTATACACCAATGTAGATATTGCACCAAAAAACAGACATTTGCAGCTAGAATAGTCATTTACCACATTAGCAATGTATAAAGTGTATTTCTGATTAGTTTAAAGTTATCTTCATTGAAAAAAACAGTGCTTTTCTTTAAAAAATAAGGAAATTTCTAAGTGACCCCAAACTTTTGAACGGTAGTGTATATACACACAAATACATATATAAACATATAGACATACTGTACATATATATACACATACATATATATTTTCACATACACACACACACACACACATATATATATATATATATAGCATATATGTGGATATATCCAAATGTACCTGTTCACACTGGCAACAAAACCCATGACTGACTGGTGTGACCTCACGGCGTCATGGTGGACATCGACTCCAACCACCATCAAGTGTTTCTGTAAAAACAGCTTCATCAGGATCTTGGTCCGAAAGAACAGAAACAGCTAACGGTCACAGCTAATCAATGAACCCTAACTAACTGCGGTCATTAACCAGAGACGTCAGGACCGACTCACCAGAGGGACGTTGACGGTCCACAGCTCTCCTCCTAACTTGCTGTTCATCTGGAGGAGAATATTCTGGGCGATGCTTTTCAGCTTCAGTGGCTGTGAAATGGTTCGGATGTTGATCGCCTGGAAACAAACAAACAAACAACAGTTCTGGTGTGAGAATATTCCAAAAATGGTTTCATTTCTGATCTCCAAATAATCGGTACCAACCTGGGAGGGGATGGGACTTTTTACACAGCACAGTCTTTTTATGGCACTGTAGAGATCGTCTCTGTTGCCAGCGATGATGCAAACCACCAACTGCATGTTGGGCTGAAAACAGATCTACAGTCAGCCACCGGGGGGCACACACAGCATTTACACATATTTCAACATATATAAATATAGTCCAAATATAATAAGTACAATGTATTACCAGAGCTAACGTTAGCTACAGCAGTCCCGGTACAGAAACTAGAGCTAACGTTAGCTACAACAGTCCTGGTACAGACACCAGAGCTAACGTTAGCTACAACAGTCCCGGTACAGACATCAGGCCTAACGTTAGCTACGACAGTCCCGGTACAGACACCAAAGCTAACGTTAGCTACAACAGTCCCAGTACAGACACCAGAGCTAACGTTGGCTAAAACAGTCCTGGTACAAACACCAAAGCTAAGGTTAGCTACAACAGTCCTGGTACAGACACCATAGCTAATGTTAGCCACAACAGTCCTGGTACAGACACCATAGCTAACGTTAGCTACAACAGTCCAGGTACAGACACCAGAGCTAACGTTAGCTACAACAGTCTCAGTACACTGAACATCGAGGTCTCAGAACCAAAACGGTCGTCAGACCGAACGTTAATCAACAACAGTCGGACTGATTACGTCTCGTCCCAACACCGCTACGCAGACACCTTACTTCGTTGTTAAGCTGACAGTGGATGCTCCTGATGTAGCAGTCAGTGCGGTCGTCTCTCAGCTCCACAAAGAAAGGTTTCTCCAGTCGGACGCCCATCGGTCCGGCCACCTTCATAAAGGTCTCCACCAGCAGCTCCGCCTGCTCGGCACAGCGGCGGGGGTAGAAGACGGCCCAGATGGTTAAGGGGATCTGGAAAAAAAACCAAACAAACATTGGTTCAGATCGCGACTTTTTTTTTTTTTTAACAAATGAAACCATTGTCCTTCCACTACTCACACAACTGATGGACGCACTGCTGATCACCTCTCTGGACCAGGACAGGTTGGACTTGGAGGCAAAGGATAAGGACTGAAGACAAAGGGTCTCCTGAGGTAACGTTCTACCTTCCAACTGAGACCAAGCACAGAACACACACGAGTTCTTAAACGGGCGGGTCGGGGGTCCAAGGAGCGTTCGGGAGATGAACTAGACTCTCACCACAGGGATCTCACTGCTGATGTCCAGTCCCCAACGACTGAGCTCCTTCAGACTCTCGGGGCTGGAGGAGATGTTCTGCAGGAGCTGACGTATGGAGTGCGTGTGCTGAGGAATGCTGACGTTGATGTGCATGGTCAACTCCTGTACATGGGCAACAATCCAGAGGGGACAACTTCAGATTTGGGTTCATTAGCGTATCTATTCACACGCACATTTCTGAGATTAAAAAAAAAAAAAAATTACGTTTCCTGTGTGACTTTTTGAAACGTCTCGTTTCCACTAAGAAAATTGTATTTGGTCAGTACAGTGGCTGTAGCTCAGCTCACTTACAACTGTGGAGTCGCGTGTTCAATTCCAGACTTAAGCAAATGGAGAAACCTGTAGTGCTTAAGGCGGGAACTGAACTTTTTAAGTCTGGAATTGAACACGTGACCCTACAGTTGTAAGGCAACTACACTGCCCACTGAGCTTGAGCCACTGTATTGACCAACCAGAGTTCTCTTAGTGGAAACGAGACGTTTCAAAAAGACAAACCTAAGTGTTTTACAGAGAAAATGTAATCACCTTTTTTAAGGTGTAGAATAAGCCCCACCCACAACAGGAAATAAAATCCATGTCTAATTACTGTACACAGTGTACACAGTACTGAACAAATACTGTACTACACAGGCTGACATGTATTTAGTTTATTTACATTAAACTGTCATGGAAGTGCTGGGTGTCCACCAGCAGGGGGCGACAGTGCACAACTGTACCTTCATGGCTCTAAAATCCTTCTTCATTTTTTCTGGTATTCCCGTCATGAAGCAGAGCTCCGGCACCAGGAGGATCTCTCCAGAAAATATTTTCTGAAAACGAAACATTTTTATTTTATTTTAAATTATCGACAAATACAGTTAACGAGGAAGATTAACGACCAGGTAGTTACCGACCTTTGCCCCCTGCTTGGACTGCTCCTTCGGCCGGTGTAGGAGCAGCGGCTGATCCATCTCTTTGATGCTGATGCCGTAGTTATTGCTGTCGTGACACGGACACACATGAAGTGACACGAGCAGACGGGAAGTCAGAGCGAAGGTTCTGGTGAAGCGCTCTCTCACCTGTAGTAGTCGGTGTAGGTGGTTCTGGTTCCGTCCATCAGGACGAAGGCGTCCTTCGGCGACTTGCTCCACTCGATGGTGTCGATGCGATATGTGCGGTTGTTGTAGCGGGTGATGACGACGCTGCCGACCAGTTCCTTACAGCACTCGTCTTGGAAACTCTCCCTACTCTGCTGGTACAGGAGGTTCCTGGTGGCCAGGAAGGACCAGGTGAGGGTTTTAAGTTAGAGTTCTGGTCTAGACTTTTTTTACTCTATATTTAAACAAAACAAAAAAACCCCCCGCCCCTACAGGACATCCGAGAAGGGACTTGAACCCATGACCTTCCAATGTAAGGCAAGAGCCTTAACCACCATTCCACTGTGTGGCTCAGGGTAAGATTAGAGAGTCAAACGTTCACCACTGTTGACGTGTGTGTGTCTGTGTGTGCGTGAACTCACATGACATCCAGCACGGAGTCGTTTGAGCTAACGTTAGCTACAACAGTCCTGGTACAGACACCAGAGCTAACGTTAGCTACAACAGTCCGGGTACATACACCATAGCTAATGTTAGCTACAACAGTCCTGGTACAGACACCAGAGCTAACGTTAGCTATGACAGTCCCGGTACAGACACCAGGGCTAACATTAGCTACAACTGTCCTGGTACAGACACCACGGCTAACGTTAGCTACAACAATCCTGGTACAGACACCAGAGCTAACGTTAGCTACAACAGTCCTGGTACAGACACCAGAGCTAACGTTAGCTACAACAGTCCTGGTACAGACACCAGGGCTAACGTTAGCTACAACAGTCCTGGTACAGACACCAGAGCTAACGTTAGCTACAACAGTCCCAGTACAGACACCAGGGCTAATGTTAGCTACGTGTGTGTGCGTGAACTCACATGACATCCAGCACGGAGTCGTTCCTCAACACTTTGTGAGACACGTCCACGCACAGATACAGACCTCCGTCTGTGCGCTTGATGGCGGTTGAGTAGCCGGGCCACACCTGAAGACTGAAGGAGTCACAAAAAAAGGATTAAGCCGTGATGTCACTGTGATGTCACCGCTCTGACTCACCCTTCGTTTTTGATGACCACAGCATTCTCGGGGTTGTAGTGATTTCTTCCCACCAACTTCAGTCCAATGATCTTCATGACTCTGGGGGGGTGGGGGTCATTCAAAAATTTACTGCAGTATTTTTACAAGTGCAGTACTGATAAATACTATCCTCCTCCAACCTTCTGAATACCACGTTGTAGAACGGAATACACAGATCCGAGTTCGGAGGCAAAATCTTCGTGATCTGGATTTTTATCTGTATTTCTTCGTCGTCCGTTCGCCTCTGACTCTTCAGGACCACCGCCTGTCGGGAGGAGAACTGCTTCAGACCAAAATACTTGTGACACAGAAGGGTCTTCCTAAATAATAAAATAAAAAATCAAGTAAAAAGTAAAACAGGAGCCCTCAAACTATATCCAAACCGTACTCACAGCGCCCCCTGCAGGTGAGCAACACCAGCCAGAAGAACTCGGCGGATTCTACTTTAAATACTTAATAATAATAAAAAAAGTAATTAACCAGACCAGGACAGTACTGACATCAGCGAGTCTGACGGGCAGGTAGAGAATGGAACCATCAAACGCCACGACTTCTCCCGTGGTGGAGCGGTGCTCTCTCATCATTCCGAAACGCATCGACATCAACTCAACATTTGGACTGAAAGACAAACGCGTCACCTCTGAGCAAACGCAACAACTACATCACAGACGTCATCAACGCGGCGACAGCGGAGGCGTACTCACGCGAAGGTGACGTGATACTGGTAGATGGCGTCGTTCTTACAGCGCACAGGGATGTGATTTGAAGCGATGGTTATCGGAGATCCCTTTGATCCGGACTTGTTCAGGGGCTGTCTGACAGTGGACATGGACACTGACGTCACATCAACACCCAGGAGACTCTGTCTCTAACGTCTCCCACGTCCCCCGTGACATTCTGGCGTTTACGAAGACCCCACAAATACATCGAGAACTGACAGACCACCCAACGGAGACTCAAACTGAAAATGACAAAAAATAGAAAAAAAAAAAAAAAAAGAAAAGACAAATTTCGACTCACGGGACGGCCTCCATTATCAGCTCCGACTTTGCTGATTCAGCAGCAGGAAGTTCCGACACCTCTGGGGTGGGGGGTTCGACTACTTCACAGAGATGACACATTTTTAGACCAAAATGAAGACAACTTTTTTTATTTTAGAAAATCTCTGCATTGACAAGAAACTGTCGAGACGATACGTATCACGATATCGGAAGAACACTACGATATTCGATTTTTTTACGGCGTTGTACCTTTCAGACTGGACTGAGGGAAGCGTCCTTGCTGAGACTGGACTCCAGGAGACAGTAGCTCAGCGCGAGTCAGCAACGGCGGCAGGGCAGCGCAACCTCTTCCCGCTGCAAGATGAGGCAACTGCGATCGTCCAAGGCCCAACATTTTCTGTGTGGGGAGACCCTGGCCACCAAAACTGTAGGGAGTCAAAATCAACAGCAGAGGGCGTTGTACGTTGTACGCTTAATATGACAGCATTTCTGATCAGCCATTTTGGTAAAAATAACTTTCGTAACATTTTGTATCCATAAAACTTCAGTTTCATCTCTTCTTACACACTGCCTCTGCCCAGCTGCCCCTCAGGTTGGACCACACCCTCTGGGCCACTGGGTGGACAAAGTTGGTGACCCTGGAGTTTCCACCCTTCCACATCAGCAGTCACGCCCCTGCCTGCAACACACGGCCGTGTTCACAACTTACACTTTATATCTGGTGATAAATATGTATATTGAAACATACAGTATATATATACATATACACATATATATATATATATACATATACACACACACATATATACATAGACACACACACACGACACATATATACACACACATATATACATAGACACATATATACACACACATATATACATAGACACATATATACACACACATATATACATAGACACATATATACACATATACACATATATACACACATATACATACATGTATACACACATATACAGTACATACACATATGTGTGTGTGTGTGTGTGTATAAATATATAATGTATATATAACAAAAATTAACCCATATGGCAAAAATTAGATTTCAGGTACAGACCAACAGGTGGCGCTCCTCTCCCCCATGAGGTGATTGCAGGCTCAAGTCCCATAGTTTTGAACATGGAAACCAGAGACAATCCTTCAGCACTGATTGGTTTGTCCTCCTTTGACACAAACACATGTTGAAAGTGCAAAAAAAATAACTTTTATATGTTAGTTGGTATCGCCAGGTAATTTTTAACGACATGTTTCTGTAACTGACAGGATCCAATCAGACCTGAAGAAGAAGAATTCACCTGTTCAGCTGCAGAAGTCTTTTCTGCAGTGGATCCACCAGGGGGCAGCTGTCGTTGTGGCTCCAAGTGAGGGAGGACTGGTCCTTTTTCCATCCCTACTTTAGGTTCAGTCTGTAGGTGGAGACATACTCCTCTGGCTCCTCCCCCACCACCACCACACACCTGTGACCCCCGGAACTGTCCAAACAAAGGTTCGTGGGTGGGTGACAGCACTCCCCGTCCTTCTGGCAACTCGCCAAGGGTGGCTAAACCCCTGGCTCTCCCTGGAGCGGGTCCTTCTGTGGAGAGCAGCGGCCCTCTGCTTCGGCTCACAGCTCCCTCTTCAGGGCGCAATCCTCTCCCATGGCCCAGCCGAGGAAAGCCACCCTGGTCAGACTTGTATAGATCCATTCAGTTAAAATCTGAGACCCCGTAGGGGGAGGAGGAACGGGGGAGTACATGAACACAACAGGATGACAATAACAAAAACTTGACACAAAATTTTCTGCGCACGTCGACAGAGAAATTATTTATCAACCCAGGTTAAAAAACACTAAATGGAAATCTGTATTTTAACTAAAATTACTGTTTACTTATAAAGTGACTAACATTTTTTATGTATGAAATGATGGGTTTTTATAATGTGTAAATGCGCGAAAACGTCCATTTTAGTTTCTATTTTAATTTACTGATTTGTTTTCGGTTATTATTGTATCATAATTCAAATCAATACATCGAGAATAATCGAGTATAAAGCAGCTTAACCCAATTTAAATGTCGTACTTTATAAATACCAGACGGTAAAACACTAAACAATATTATTAACATTACGTCTTCTTAATTAACGAATAGACATTATTTTAATTTGTGCAACAAATATAGTCTAAAGTTTAACCACACTCAGTTTTTTATTTATCCATTAAAATGTTTAACACTAGTCAAAAAAGTTTTATAACAGCGTCATATCGGACTCCAACAGTTAGCTTGGCTACATTTAGCTAGCTCAGTAGCCTGCTAGCTTCCTCGCGGGCTTAAGTGGCTTAACTGCCGCCGTTCTTAGTCGGGTTTATTTTTTAAAAAATTGCAGTTTTTCGGCAAAATACCGACATTATACTTGACATTTGAAGTAACCCACGTTAACTCACTTGCACTTGTCAACACCGGTACTACTTACAAGGAACTACAACGACGTTCGTCTTTGCGCCACATAGAAGTCCGCCCTCCCGCCACCGATTGACAACCAATCAGGTTCGTGCAACAAAAGCGTCGGTTTAACGCACCTGACCAATGACCGGTGACGATCTTTGAGTGTCGCTCGCTGTAAAACCGCGGTCACCAACTGACGTGCTACGTTGCTACTGCAACACATGAATAAACGTCACAGAGTAAGTACCGAAACATTTTTATATTTTTTAATGACATTTAGCTTTTGTAGCGCTGTTGGCTTGTGTTTATTTACACATAGTTACATTGATAAATAAACAGATTGATCAACTCGGACATGCGAAGACGACGAAGCGCTACAACTTGCACTTGAATTTCATTTCTGAAACGGCAAAGTACCCCTTCATACCACTAGAGGAAGATTTACTTCCGGTTTAATGTGCAGTAAAAGAAAAGTGATATCGGTCTTGGAGTTACTCACAGACAGTTTCAGTACTGAAACTTATTTACACAGTACACGTGGCTCGTTGGTCTAGGGGTATGATTCTCGCTTTGGGTGCGAGAGGTCCCGGGTTCAAATCCCGGACGAGCCCTAAATTTTCCAAAGGGAACTTTTATAAAAGTTCCATCAATCTACGTTCCGTACAAGACTGGTGCCTCTGGTGGATGGAACAAGACAGTTCATTTATGGCCTCCAGAATTAATAATAATTTTTAAAAAAAACAGTAACATGAACCCCGCCCCCCACAGTCCGTGAACTGACGATCCCCTCCCCTTCTAAAATAAATAAATAAATACACAGAGACATAAAAACATACATTATCGCAATGTTCAGGAGTCACCACTAGAGGGCGATTTATACCATGCCGAGATAACCTCAGGCCTGAAATGAAAGAGAGNACGAGTCGCCGCTCAGTCCAAAGGAACGTCCGAAACCCGGTTGGGCATGGAGACTGTGGCCCGCTTAGACTCCTCCATTTTGTCCAGGCCGAAGAGAAGGTCCAGTTGGGTGACCGGCCGCAACCGTTCTTCTTCCACAGGTCTGGAACTGAGAGCAAACGTGAAGAAGAGAAAAGAGCAGTTTGACCACCGTGTCACACGGACCAATCAGAGCTGGGGATTGAAACCAACGAACATACGTGTTTTTCTCCCCGTCCCAGTCCAGGAGCTGCTCAGTGACCTGCCTCAGCTGCTCCTCGCGGACATAGTCCCTGACTCGGTACAGGGCGGCGTCGCGGCACAGCTCCCTCAGGTCACTGCCAGAGTAACCTTCGGTCTTCTCAGCGATTTCCGTCAGATTAACACTGCGGCTCAGCTGAGAAAAACAGACACGACGGACGGTTGGGGTGAACGTGAAACGTGAAGGAGAAGAACCGGACGAGGATGGAAAATCTCCTCTTACGTTTTCTCCTGCCAAGATCAGCGTCATGATGTCCCGTCGTTGTTGGGCGTTCTGTAGAGATGGGAAGAAAAATACGAAGTTTGTTATATACGAATAATACGAATACTTTGTTTATTTTTCAAGCTTGGTGCAGAGTGACTCTCTGGCTCCCTCTGCCGGTGCTCAGGTCTTACTGGAAGGCCAACGTGAAACGCAGCAGGCATCCTCCGCAGTATGGCTGCATCTACGTCCTGCGGCCTGTTGGTGGCGCCCATTACCATCACCTGCAGCACAGACACACGTCATAACATGTCGTCATAACATGTCATCATAATTCCGTAACTCGATCCTCGTGTCTGTGGAGATGTGGCTAAAAAAAAAAAAACAGGACCAAAAATAAAAAAAAAGATCTAAAAGTCACGGAGGTCAAACTCATGTTGGTCAGGTGTCAATCATCTGTGGTGACAAAGCGTCGTTAGCAAACAGCTAGCCTACCTGTTTGGTAGCGGACGTGTCCAGTCCGTCCCACAGACTCATGAACTGGGCCTTCATCATGGCCGTAGCCTCGTGGTCCAGGCAGGAGCGGTTCCGTAGAAACGAGTCTAGACACACAAATATATTATCGCGCACCTCCAGCTTACTGTCAACAGGGGGGGAGGGGGTGGGAATCCAGAGAGAGACGGCGGAAACATGGGTATTTATCTGTAGCATTCTCCGTACAATCCCCTGATAATTAAAATAAATTAATAAAACGAGCTGCAATGCTGCCATCTAGTGGCTTTCACTTTCATATACAGCCGTTTTTCCCCATTTTTAGTGCACACATCATTTGGCGAAAACCCAGGCATTGCGGTATCAGGTTTTCAGTATTGGAGGAAAAACCGATAACTTACCGATTCTTACAGATACTACGTAATCATGCTAATATCGGGCCGATAATATCAGACATCTTTAATCACTTTTTCTAAGTACTGAATCCTTACAGCACCTCACCGATTTCATCGATGAAGATGATGCAGGGGTGGATTTTGGCCGCCAACGAGAAGACGGCAGCCGTGAGTTTCTGCGACTCTCCGTACCACATGTCCGTCAGCGTGGACGCCTGCAGGTTGATGAACTTGCACCCCGAGGCCTTGGCCGTTGCTTTGGCGATCATGGTCTTCCCACATCCCGGAGGTCCGTACAACAAAACACCCCGGGGGGGCTGGAAGAGCTTTGATCTGGCCAGAAGTCTTCTCTTCTGGAAGGGGAGGATGACGGTGTCCTGCAGCTCGTTGACGACTTCGTCCAGACCGGCGATGTCCTCCCAGGAGACCTGCGACGAGACGCACAAAACTGTTTGTAGTGCGGAGACACTGAGGTTACCGGCAACATCGCAGGGGTCCCGCGCCGACCTTCATGCTCCGTGGATCCACCAGGTGGGACGCGATGTTCATCTCGTACTCCGTGAGGGTGACGTCCTCCACGCCGATGCTCTTCATCAGCTGCTCCGCCTGGAAGAACAAAACCACTAACTCATCTTAACTCTTAACTCCCCCGTCCGTACCGGACCAAGTTGGAGGTCGGCCACCGGAACCCACCCTCTTCTTGGCCTGGTTCTTCTGTTTCGACGTCGGATCCATGGCCTCCATGACCCACTTGATGCTGTAGTATGTGGCTGCTCCGAACACTGTCAACCGCAGCAGCAGGCCCACCACCTCGTTTCTGGACAGCGGCTGCAGCAGGGCCTCTCTGGGGAGATCTTTGAAAGGCATCTCAGCTGATCGGCATCAGACTGTCGGCAGAACACGGAACCAAGAACGCAATGTTGGAGACAGGAACTGAACGACACTTTAAAGCTAATTAATAATAATGATAATAATCAGAACTTTATTGATCCCTGTTGCAACAGGCTGCCCCCTGCTGGCACCACGTATGAACCTCTTAAGGGAACCGAACCCTGGACTAACTACGCTCTGTTTCCGAGGCAGGCGTGCTAACCGCTACACTATGGAAGCACTATAGCCCATTAACTACTTAATATCAACAATAACGTAATATCGTAATAACATTTATTAATCTTTATTACCTTTTATTATTTGTCTCAATGATACGAACCGGAACTGAACGTTTCGATTTTTTTTCATTTCATGTATTTCATATTTTGTGGATAATTTATTACTGTTTTAAAATTAAACATTAAAAATATCTATAATTCCCAGAATTCCTTTCATCACGGATGTCATTAAACCTAGAACTACGTCAATCAAACAGTAGTTCGTTATTCGGCTCCATGCTAGCTCCTTTAGCCTCCTGAGCTGTCAATCACCTGTCCACGACACCAAGACGTTTTATTTTATTTTTATTTTTTAGTGTTTGTTGTTGTTTTTTTAAAGTTTTAAGTGTTTCCTGTTTACAAACATGACCAACACGACCCTCCGTCTGTCGATGTGCTTTTTAACAGCCAGGAAAAACCTCAGCCGTGGGTAAAAAAAAAAAAAAGCTAACGTCGCAGACGAAAACGTTTTAAATTTACATTTATAAATGTGCGCTTAAATAAATCTGAAGAAAACACGCACATTATAAAACGGCCTTAAAACGTAAAATGAGATTAAAAATATATTCCTACCTCCAAACTCCACGGTTCACACGGAAAAAACGTCAAATACTGCATTAGCCCACGGGGGTGCACCCGGGATTTGGACTCCGGGTAGGAACAAACATCCGTTCCGTATTTTCTCCGACATCAGCACTACGGACAGCGACTGTAGCGTAGAAGACACTACGCAATAGACTTTGTTCATTATTTTTTTCTCATTTATTTATATTATTATATTTATATATATTTATATTATATCATTGATTTTTATTTTTTTCTTTAATTAATGCATTTTTTCTTTGATTTATTCAAACATTTCATTTATTTTTCTTTCTTCCTTTTTTATTTTTTGTTTGTTTGTTTGTTTTTTCTTTAAATTCACTAATTCATTTTCTGCAGCTCCTGTTCAGGGTTCCGGAGGAGACGTTCCCAACAGTCAACACATGAGGGCGGCATTACACCCTGTACAGTTCTACAATCCATCACAGACTAACATACAGGGGGAAAAAAACTCAACTCAAACTCCCTCTCTCATTCACACTGTCATTCACGCTGTCATTCACACTGTCATTCACACTGTCATTCACACTGTCATTCACACCTATGGTCACTATCGGTCACTAATGTTGTATTTTCTTTATAATAAAATGTCTGTGACCTGGAGGTCGTGTCCTGACTTGACCTCCACGCTGATGCACCTCAGTGAACAGTGGTTAGCATTAGCAGCAGCATGAGCTGCAGCAGCATTAGCAGCAGCAGCATTAGAAGCAGCAGCATTAGCAGCAGCAGCAGCACAAACACTGTTTCCTGTAGAGATGCTTCAATAAAGGCTTGAGGGAAAAGGGAACGTAGGGCGCTAATCATGTTAGCCTGTTTCCGAGCTAACATCCCGAGCCACATTTCTTCTTTGGGTTTCCCCCCGGCAGATGTGAGTCTCATTACTGCCACCTTCTGGGTCTGTTTTCCACTGGTCTTACTCTAGAGCAGTGATTCCCAACCAGGCTCATTGGTGTGCGCTTATTTATTTACGGCAATTACAACTGGAGTTATATTTGAGTTGCTGTATATGTGACAGCAACCGGCAGAGCAATCAATTACTCTTCCCCTAGGTGGCAGCAGATGGCTACAAAAACAAAAAAAAATCTGTTGAAACTGTTGAAGATTTTGGTGTGTCTTTCTTCAATTCCTGTGAGTAAAACAGCGTTGTGTTCAACGAAATGAGTAAATTTGGAGTAAAGTATTTATACTCTTATAGTTTCATTTATATTTATGTATTTTATATTTTTATATTTTTACTTATAGTTTTTCTTTCGTGTTTTCCTGTTTATGTCCTGTGATTGAGTTCAACGGCGGAAATTTCGACATCCGTGTGTATCACCTGAACGCACCATTAGCGGTAGCTAACAAATGTCATCAACAGAACACGACTCTGTTTTTACTGATGATGAAGGGACAGTGGGAGGGCTCGGGGGGATCAATGGGTCACTATGGATCTGAGGGGGGGTCAGCTCACTTTGATGATCTCTCTCTCTCTCTCTCTCTCTCTCTCTCCTTATATATATATTTATTATTATTTTATTGTTCTGTAGAGAGAGCGAGAGAGCGAGAGAGCATTACTTTGCTGCCAAGACAGCGATAGTCGTCAGGGAAGTGTGGCCTGTTTTAAGTTGTGTTTTGACTCAGTGACACCCGATCACCTGCAGGTTCATTTCCTCATCGTTACCGAAGAGATTAGAAAATAAATCTCTGCGATAACAAAACCTGAAATCTGAGCAGCGCGGCGTAGAATGAAATGAGGAAGTCTGCGTTAATCTGCGTGGAAAAGTTTACAAACACTAATTCTGTGAAGAGTTACCGCTCGTCTTCACCTGTCAAGATAAAACCACCTGTCAAGACAATACCACAATAATTAAAAAACAAAATGCCACCGACTCAGCAACGATCACATGACCCGTCGACAGCTTAAGGTCAACGATACGTTTGTGGAGTTGATGTCTGGGGTGTAGCCGAATAAAGTGGTAATAAACTGGTAATAACTCACACTGTCCTCTGTTGTTACTGCTGTTACCACAAACCAGAGTAATCAGAGTACAGTATGTGTACTGGTGAAGTACTGCAGTACAGGAGTCAGTACTCAGTTAATGATGTACTCATTAACCCTGTTCTCTAATTACCAGTGAAGAAGAGGATGGAGAGGAAGAAGAAGAAGGAAAAGAAGAAGGAAAAGAAGAGGAAGAAGAAGAAGAGAAGAAGAAGAAGAGGAGGAGGAGGAGGAGGAAGAAGAAGAAGAAGAAGAAGAGGAAGAAGAGAAAGAAGAAGAAGATGATGATGAATAAGAAGAAGAGGAAGAGGAAGGAGAAGAAGAAGAGGAAGAAGGAGAAGGAGAAAATACATTGTCTGTGGTTGATGTTTACTCTAACCACGGAGTGATGATGATGATGATGATGTTGGAGAGAGTGGAGTTTGAATGTATACCGCCACCTACTGTCCTGGACTGTGTAGTGTCATGGTGTGACCGGTGAGTCCTTGATACACCACACTTTTTTTTCACGTCAATCTGTCCGAGTTGTCATGCATCGATTATATCGTTTTTTTAACCGATTCGTGACTCGTCGTTAGACAGTCGTGCGGTCAGCAGATCATTTCTCCTCCAATGCAATCTTCTCCGTCTCTGCTCCTCTGCCCCTGAGGTCGTAACTGAACAGCTGATCCCTGAGGCGAGTGGAGTTTCTGAACCCAATTGTGTCACTCACTGTCACCGATCCTTCAAGGCCTCATCGCATCCTGTCACTTCTGACTTCCTCCAAAAAGTACAGTGGTTTCACAGCAACTGTCACGGCTGTTTTCACTGACATGCCTTTCAAGTCGAACTCTGATGTCGTTGACCTTTGTGTCCAAGGTCAACAGATATATATTATAGGTATATTTATTTATATTTACTAAAATCAGATATGTTTTATATGTGGGGATGCAGTGGGGTGCAGTGGGGCGCGGGGGGTCGGGGTGGGGGGGTTGTAGGAGTTAAGGTCCGACTAAGAAACCCAGATGTACTGGGGGTTATCAGAAGAATCTTTTTAGACTCTATGTCAAACTCAAGGCCCGCGGGCCAAATGTGGCCCACCAGGTCAATCAAATACGGGCCACGCATTTAATTTGCCTTATGTTGCTGAGTTTGTTTACATGAATAAAACGAATGATTATTTTTAATTACCTAGCGTTTATTAGCAATTGTCCTCCTTGACACCGCGGCAGCGTTTTCTCGGCAGCCGGACCGTTCTGTTCTAGAATTTTTCTCTCACTTTTTTTTCCTGGTACTGTTTCTGTTGTTTTTTGGGGGAAACGATTGCACGCGACACACCTGACGATCCACCTTCAACCACCAACTTACTGGAAGCGTGATCTGCCGAGTCGACGCCAAGGAATGTACAGGTACAGAACCACACGGTCCCACTTGACTGCAGCTGGAACGTGGAGGAGGAACCCCACCCCGTCCTCCCCCGCCGCCCCGGAAAAACTGCTCCGACCTGTCATGGCTGTACTTACAGCGCTAGGCTGCGGGTGTGATGTTGTCACTTAAATGTTTTTTTTTTATTGTGAACAAAGCCGACTCTAAATGACTTGGATTACTTGCGTATTAACGTAGACCCAGAGCTGCCGCCTCAGGGTGATTGACACTGAGCTGGTGACGCCTTTGGAAGACGTTTTCTGGAACGGATTAACCCAAACTAATCAGGATTAACCCAAACTAATCAGGATCAATCCAAACTAATCATTATTAATCCAAATTAATTAGAAGTGATCAGGATTAATATGGAATAATCAGAATTCATCAGGATTAATCCAAACCAATCAGGATTAATCGAAACTAATCAGGATTAATCCCAATTAATTAGAAATTGTCAGGATTAATCTGGAATAATCAGAATCAATCAGGATTAATCCAAACTAATCAGGATTAATCCAAATTAATCAGGATTAATCCAAACTAATCAGGATTAGTCAGGCTAGATTTAGATAAATACCCAACAGTACCAGCTTTGACAGACCATGGATCCAGGTGTCTGTCATCCGTCACCTGGTGTTCGTCTGTAGAATCCTCCAGATTAGAAATGAAAATCCCCAAACAGAACGACAGAGGAGCAGGGCAAGAGGCCACAGGTCACAGGTCAAAGATCACAGATCAAGACAACAGCGCCAACGCGGTGTTTAACCTTCAGTTTGTGAAGCTGTGATGTTTTCATCACCGTGATCCTAGTACTACATACACTGTATATATTCGGTTCATTTTCAATAGATTTTATTCTATTCTTAGGACAAAGACACAGTCTTATATATTTATATATGTGTATATGTATGTGTCGTCTCTGTTACTGGAAGAGAAAAATAATTCAGCTTTATGGAATTGAGACTTCTACTATATACGTATATATATATATATTGTATATACACACATATATATATAAGTATATATACACACATTTATATATAAATATATATACACACATTCATATATAAATATATATACACACATACAGATATAAATATATATATACACACATACATATATAAATATATATATACACACATACGTATATAAATATATATACACACACATACATATATAAATATATATATATATATAATATGCGTTTCAAGACCCACCGCGAAAAGGGAAAATCTGCGAATTGAGAGGTTCGTGAAGGGTAAATATATGCGTAAATATAATGACTTATATTTACGCATATATTCACCCTTAACGAACCTCTGCTCCCTAAACTGAGAGAGAGAGAGAGAGAGAGAGAGAGAGAGAGAGAGTTTGATCTCAGATCCAGTCCATCCAGTAAAGCAACGTTTCCTTTCCACTTACCGACAGTTCGCAACTATTTGTGAAATGGTGCAGCTCGTTCTTTCGGAAACAGCTGATGGGAAATTCCCCAGAAAGTACATATATACAAATATGTATATATATTTATACTTGTTTGTCCTGAAGGGCTGCTGATTTCCCTAGTGTTTTGACACAGGAAATTTTGAAGTTGAGATTTGGAGCGAGGTAAAAACACGGGCAGTTCAAAAAAAAAAAAGAATCCAAGGGTATCGGTGGATCAATCACAATTAATCATCAATAACTAAGATTAATCAGGATTAGTGGAGGTTCAACAGTTCCATATCCATTTTTTCTGTGGATTGCTGGACCGGTCATTCCAACATCAGAAGTAGAGGTCAGTGTTTCACACCAGTTGTTTTCCAAATGATGGGATTATTAATGAATTATTAATGAGAAAACGTTAAGAAATATGAACAAAGAAGTGAAAACAAAAATTCATCTTCATCCGACGATGATCGGTCATAATGTCAACGAAGAGGCCACGATTATAAAAGTGACCGTTTAGCAGCTGGTGGACTCAAACCTGAAACCTTCTGGAAACCAAGTCCACTTCCTTAACCAACGAGCCACCACTGCTTAGCAAGTGGAAGGTGACGGTGAAGGTGACCCTGTGATGGACCCCCCCCCCCACCCTGCCCTGAGACCCCCTTCACCCGAAGACCTCTGGGATTGGGTCCAGTTCCCATGGCTTCAGCGAAGGGCAGTCTAAGGGTTAAATCATCGATGGATTTGCGGAGGATTCAGGTCCATTATCTAGATAGATGTGGTAACAATAAGAGGTGTGGTATAAAAAAAACAAAAACAAAAAAATGAAAAAACAAATGCTCCCAGGGTTGAAAAGAAAGGGCGGCTGTGTTTATGATCGAGCAGCTTGATAACAACATGGGGTTAGGGTGGTGGTAGTGGGAATTAGGGTGGTAGTTGTGGGGGTTAGGGTGGTGGTTGTGGGGGTTAGGGTGGTGGTTGTGGGGGTTAGGGTGGTGGTTGTGGGGGTTAGGGTGGTGGTTGTGGGGGTTAGGGTGGTGGTTGTGGGGGTTAGGGTGGTAGTTGTGGGGGTTAGGGTGGTAGTTGTGGAGGTTAGGGGGGTGTAGTTGTGGGGGTTAGGGTGGTGCGGTGTGTGCCACCCTCTCTCTGGTGGATGTGTTGACTTGACGAGGCTGAAGCTGAGGGGCTGGGTGTGGAGAGTGTCTTCTTGCCAACAGAAGATGATGTGCGTGTTTGGACTGTGACAGAAAACAAAAGAACACGATGAAGGTGGGGTCAAATATTCAAAGGATGCCAGAGTCCTGTAAGAAGAATGCATGGGCGTTTTTCACTTCTCCAGTTTCCTCTTTGATGAACTATTCCAGTAAACGCTGCATCTGGTGACAAATTTTTTATTTGTCTTTCGCCGTTCACTCTGTGAATTTTTTACACTAAAATAATTTTAAAAAAAATTGAACATGAGAAAAGCGCTACTAAGATTTGAAGCGTTTCCCCTCACCTTTGGACCGACCGCTTCAGCAAATTGTGAATCTCAGGGAACCCCTTGGCTCTGACCTTTGACCTCTTAGGACGTTCCAAAAAAAAACCAAAAACAAAAACAAAAAAACTTCACGGCCTCGCTCAACAACCAAAACAAGTTTATTATCTAAAAGGGAAGAGGAGAAAAAAAAAAAAAAAAAAAAAAAAAAAAAAAAAAAGACGACGGGACGACGCTTTGTCTTCGTCTTCGACCAGGAACCGACGCCTCCACGGACTGGACAGTTCTCCAGTCCACCACAGCGCCACCTACGGAGGCATCCATTCACACCCATATGCAAATCCACACTCACATTCACACCTCTGGTGGGTTTAGCGTGGACATTATCCTAATCTCCCAACATAATCTCCCAGAAAGTTTGTAAGAGATCGTGAGAGGAAGTTGGAGAACCCACTCTGACTCCCCCGTGCCCCCCCTGACCCCCCGACCTCCCAGCAGCTCAAAGAACATCGAACTTTTTTTTTTTTGGATAAACAAACGTAACTGGTTTTTTTAAATAATTAACCGTTACAAAATTTAATCAAATATAAATATAATAATTAAGGTGAGTAAGTGGCGGCAACGTTGCCATACTCATTATATTGTGGTTTTAGTCGTCGGTAAATTCCCCGATCATAAGTGTTCTTAATCGTTGGCAGGAACACTTTCTTCTTTCACTGACAGTAAATTTTGTCTCGCAGTTCTCTAGAAAAGAAACATTTCTCATGAGAAGGGTGTCGGCATTTTTCGTTTTTTTTTTTTTTAAGGGACAACTTTTTTATGATATTACAATTGTGTTTGTCGGAGGGCCGACACGGTGGGTCAGGGGTCAGCCTTAGGTTGAACCACGGGCCGCCGCGCTGTCTTTTCACCGCACGCTGGTTTCACGTCAGACAATATTCTCACAGAGCTTTTGTCAAGAAGTAATGATCGTGGGTAGGACTGGAAACGTAATTGTCTCTTTCATTCTGCTCTTGAAAGACTTTAAGTTTCCCATGAGTCTCCAGGTGCCTGGAAACAGGAGAGCATGTCTCAGAAAAAAAAACAAACAAAAAAAACAAGTACGTTTGTCTTTATGGGCAAAAAGAAAACTGTTTGGATACTTCAGTGTGAGGTTTCCTCCCACAGTCCAGAAACTGGACCGGCCAATTGTGTGGGGTGCAATTATGTCCCACCCACTGACGCCAGGGATTGGCCCCAACACAGTAGAAAGTGACAACAATAAAAATCCAAAATGACCTAAAGAACAGCGGCAGTTCTTCAAAAGTCCTGACTCTGAAGAGTTTTTTTTTCTTCGAATTAATGTTTTGGTTCATTTAAAAAAAAAAAAAATTTAAAGACAATTTAAAAATAAAAAAATAAAATTTGTAGCAGCTGCAGAGCATCAACTTCTCCAGCAGAGGGCACCCAGGACGAATGTTTATGAGGCCCCGTGCCCAGGCATTTGATTATACATTACATTGATATAGAGTATATAAATATATATATAATATACAATATCATATAATATATGAATATATTCTGAACGAGTAGCTGTTAAAAGTTTTTTTAAAAATTATAAAAAAAAAAAATTTAAAATTAAAAAATGTTCAAAGTAAAATGATTTCATTCTTTCACGTGATGTTTAAATTGTTAAAATATATCATTTTTGTTAAATTTCGCCATTAAAATGATAAAAATGAAGCCATGTTTGGATAATTAATAAAATTTAACTTAAAAAAAACCCAACAACAACTAATTAACTAGCCTAGAATTTCATATTAATGTTTCTTTACCGCAGGGCTTTCAAACACACACACACTGTACGTTCGCCGTGCCTCTCTCACTTACTCTTCCTCAAAGAATGGAATGCTTAAATTACTTCTTATAAGGAAGCAAATTTATTTTTCACCTGTAAAATACCTGCAAACAGGTTCAACCGCTGGTGCGCGGGGCCGAGCCACGGCGGCCTGTCAACGTATAAAAGATGGGAGTTGAGCACAGCTGTCATCACATCAGGTCCCGGGACAGAGAGTTAGCGGGTGAGTATTTATTTGGAGTATTTTTAAAAGTCTATTTTTAAAGGTAGATTTAATTAAAAACTGTGTTTGATTCATTTTATTTAACAAAATAATTTTTTTTTTGGTTTCTGATCTGGGAGACAGTGATACAATTTTAAGTGTATTTCTTTTTGCTATATTCACATATATAGTATTTTTAAAAAGATTCAAATGTACTCGTATTCCCGTTTGTCACTCACGGAGGTTTTGGAGTAAAATTCATCCTCTTCGATATTAAAAAAAAAAAAAAGTCTTCATTTTCTAATGTCAAACTAATGAATTTCCCTCTTGACAGGTTTGGTGTTTGAACTTAACAAAATGGCAACTCAAACACTGTTGCCTTTGCTGGTCCTGTTGATGATAGGTAAGAGGAAAACCATCCTGTATTTACTGTAAAAAAAATTTAGAAAAAGAAAAAATACTGATTTGTTTTTATTTTTTTAAATGAATGCCACAGGTTCACAGCCTCTGCAGGTTTTAGGTAAGTTTTTTTTTTTTTGAATTTTGAAAGTATTTAGAACCATTTGAGAAGAGAAATATATATGTGTATCTTATGTGTGTGTGTGTGTTCTAGGCTCACTCTATCCAGTAACTGGTACGACGAGTCCTCAATCAGATGACGGTAGTTCACCTCGGATTTCTCTCAGCCAGCCGTTCCAATTCTTTGGACGCTCGCACTCTTCTGTTTACGTATGTCAATTATTCAACTACGTCAACCTCTGACTCCCGTTCAGTCCAAACACACATCAATAATTCTTTTAAATGAAGACGCAGTTGATCCAACGCGTTCATGGTCCGGTGAAGGCTCTGCGCCAGAGCTGCGTTTGCTGAATCTCCGCTTTCTGTTTCTCAGGTGAACCACAACGGTGACCTCACCTTCACCAGTGCCTTCAGCCAGTACTCGCCACAGAACTTTCCAATGAGAAGGATGGACATCATCGCAGCTCTGTGGACAGACCTGGACAACAGAGTAACCGGAAGCATCCTCTACCACGAGTACACCGGCGGTAGCATCCTAGCACGAGCTACACAGGACATAAACACCTATTTCCCCGGTGTGCAATTTACTGCATCTAGTGTCTTTGTTGCCACATGGTACCAGGTGGCCTATTTTCCAACCACTGGCACGGTAAGTCGACGTGTCGAACGTCTGAACGTGAAGATGTTCGGTACTAGCATGCGCTTGTCAAAACTAACTATTACGGGTTGGTTTTTTGTTTGACATTGAAATTGTTTGACATTGAAATTTCAGCAAGCCACAGCCCAGGCCATCCTGATCACTAACGGAAGGTTTTCTTTCGTCATGCTGAACTATGGGCCAATAGCCCAAACGACCCGCCCGATTCAAGTGAGACACTGACACCACGTCAAGGCCCGTGCTCTCCAGCTGACTGTGTGATTCAAACCCAAACATTCAAACGTGGCCTCTGTGTTTTCAGGCTGGTTACGACACACAGGATTCCGCGCACCACTACTCCCTGGAGGGATCCATGACTACCAATTCGTCAGACCCAAACTCAAGGTTCCGTATCAGGAGCAACGTCGGTGTACCCAGTCGATGGGTTTTCAGAACGGACCGCACATCAAGAGGATGCGATTTTAACGGTAAAACCTAAAGTACCAGATGTGGCCACAACATCCATATTTGACACCACCCTCCTTTAACCTTAAGAAAGAAGGAAAATAACAGTACACCGCGAAACACACCCTGATGTTTGACTATTGTTTGACTGCACCCACTGCTTAAGACCAGTGGTTGTCAAACTAAGGAACATGTCCCGCTGGTTTTATTTGGGCTCCCTCCAGTGGTGTTTGAGGAATTTGTGTAGATGGATTTAAAACAAAGGGACAGCGACGACTCCAAACTTTTTTAGATTTGAAATCGTATCAAATATATCATACATTTTTTTTTATTTTTCATTTTTTCAGGGTTTGAGGTTCAGGTGGGAGACTCCTTCTGGAGTGACAACACCTGTGCAGAGAAGTGCACCTGCACCTCCTCAGGCCTCCAGTGTGTCAGCCAACCCTGCTCCTTCGGCCAAGCCTGCAGGCCGTCTATGTTTCAGTTCTCCTGCCAGACGGTCCAGAGGGAGACCTGCACCATCAGCGGAGATCCACATTACTACACCTACGACGACACCGTGTTCCACTTCCAGGGCACGTGCACCTACGTTCTTTCCGAGGAATGTGGCCATAACTTGCCCTACTTCAGGGTGGAAGGGAAGAATGAGCACCGGGGCAGCACTCATGTGTCCTGGACGAGGCTGGTCAGAGTGTTTGTTTACGACGAAATGATCGAACTCGTCAAAGATCAACGTGGAAAGGCCTTGGTCAGTACTCTAGTGCCGCTAGAACGTGCGTTGGAACACGCGGTGGATATTGTTAACTTGTTAACTTGAATCGTTTCTCCTTTCTCCTCTTTGTTTCCAGGTTAACGGAACCTTTGTGACGGCTCCGTTCCATCTCAGCAATGGCAGCGTCTACGTTTATTCGTCAGGGAGGGACGTGGTGGTCTCCACAAACTTTGGCTTGACAGTTTCCTACGATGCCTACTCTACAGTCAGAATCGGGGTGCCCAATATCTACAGGAACTCAACATGTGGCCTCTGCGGCAACTTCAACGGCATCAGCAGTGACGACTTCAGAACCAGCGACGGCCGCATCGTGACGTCTGACGTGGAGTTCGCCAACAGCTGGCTGGTCCCTGGAGACAACGAGCGGGGGTGTGAGGTTGAGTGCAGCGGTCTGGAGTGTGCCGGTTGTACTGAACAGCAGGCCGCCGTATTCAGAAACGGAGACCACTGTGGCATCCTGGCCAATACCTCGGGGCCGTTTGCCGCTTGCAGCAGACAACTGCCTCCAGAGAACTTCATACAGAGCTGCGTCTACGACCTGTGCATAGATAATGGATACCAGCCCACTCTGTGTCAGGCCCTGGAGGTGTACGCCGGTCAGTGTCAGCAGGCTGGCATCACGGTGTCAAACTGGAGGAGAAGAGGCTTCTGCGGTATGTTTGTAATTCTTCTTCGTTTTTTTTCACCAATATTAACGTACTTATTGCGATGATGTGAATTTTAATTTTTTAAAAATGACATCATTTGTTTCCAGAAATGCCCTGTGTAGCAAACAGCCATTTTGAGCCCCAGGGCACAGGATGTCCATCTACATGTGTCAATACCAATTCCAGCAACAACTGCCCCCTACCTTCCCGCGAGGGCTGCTTCTGCAATGAGGGCCACGTCCTCAGTGGCGAGGCCTGTGTTGCTGTTGCAGACTGCGGTTGTAACTTTGAGGGTCGGTACTACAGCGCTGGGGATACGGTGATACTTGATGACGACTGCGGTAGAAGCTGCCGGTGTGAGCAGGGCGTGATGACCTGTCAGTCCCACGGTTGTGATGCTCTTGAGGCGTGTGTAGTGGAGGAGGGGGAGAGGGGATGCAGACCCAATGGCTATGCAACATGCTTGATACGAGGCCCGGGGTCGTACCAAACCTTTGATGACCTGACATACGAGTACCCCGGGGCGTGTCGCCTGACACTTGCCAGAGTGATGGGACTGTTCAATCACCCCCACTTCACAGTGACTGCAGAGAAAGTGCTCAGAGGTGACGGGGGATTTGACCGGTGGCTGAAATTTGAGTCTGAGGGGAAACTAATTTCCTTAGAGATGTCTAGCAGCAGCACGGTCAAGGTATGAGGCCACAAACAACCACAGCAGCTGATAATGTCAGAACCCCCAGCAGCTTCTCACTCAACTTCTGTCTTTCAGGTTGACGGTCAAATGATCCGACTTCCTTACAGCACGGAATCCAATCGAATCCAAGTCTACCACAGCAGCATTCACGGTATCGTCATCCGCACCGCCTTTGGTGTGAAAGTTCAGACAGTCTGGCCGCACTTCGTAAGCATCACTGCACCTAGCGTCTACAACGGTACGCTGGGTGGACTGTGCGGTAACTACAATGGCCACTCACATGATGAGTTCCGCCAACCCGACGGTACTTTGGTGGACAACGCTCAGGCGTTCGGCGACAGCTGGCGCGACGGCTCTCTGTCCGCACACTGTGTAGAAACACAACACGACAACTCCAACACTAACTTCAATACCAGTGAGTACTGTGCAATTATTGGCTCAGAAGAAGGACCCTTCACCGGGTGCTGGTCCGTGGAAGACCCGCAGCAGCACATGGAAACGTGCATAAGGATCCTTGGAACTTCAGGAAATCCAGCATCAACAAGGTGCGAAGTCCTGCGAGACTATGCTCTACTGTGTCAACGGGAGGGTGTGGAATTACAAGGATGGAGAGATGCAACCAACTGTGGTAAGGATCCCCCTCACTGGTGAAATTATACGAGTAAAAAAGTGTAAATCCTGATAATGAAATGATGTTTTGAACCCGTGTCCCTCCAGAGTACACCTGCCCTGGTAACAGCCACTACGAGCCTTGTCATAGGCCTTGTCCCTCCACCTGCCCCAGCCTTAGTTTCCCCTTCACCTGTGAGACTGTGTGCCAGGAGGGCTGCCAGTGTGACGACGGCTTTGTTCTCAATGGCAACCATTGCGTGCGGCCCACATCTTGTGGGTGCCACCACAATGGGCGCTATCGGCAAAGTGGCGAGCAGTTCTGGGATAGTGAGGAATGTCAAAACCTGTGTACCTGTAATGGTAGGACAGGGATAGTGCACTGCAGGACCAGCTCCTGTGAAGCCCAGGAGTCCTGTCGCGTGGTGGGGGGTGAGCTTGGCTGCCACCCTAACCCTCACGGTAGCTGCTCTGCCATCGGAGATCCCCACTACACATCTTTTGATGGCAAGCGCTTCGACTTCCAGGGAACCTGCCGTTACATTCTGGCAACCGTTTGCAACAACACCGGTGAACTGGAGTCCTTTTCGGTGGGGGCTAAGAATGACCCGTGGGGCGGAGGCAGTGTTTCCATCACAGCTGAGGTTTTTGTCAATGTCTCGGGCTACCAAATACACATGTCCAGGCACAGGAGAGGAGCAGTGATGGTAAGTTGACATTGTATTATACGTAACCTTAAATCGCAAAAAGGCAGTTCTTACTAAAAATCACCACAATTGTAATTCTGATATTATAGATCAACGGAATAACAGCAAATTTACCAGTCGTGTTGAACGGAACCGTGTCGGTCTTTGCAAGTGGATCTCGTACATTCGTCCAAACTGACTTTGGCCTCAGTATCACATACGATGGATCACATAGAGCGACCATCGCTGTGCCACCAGCTTACAGGTAGGTGGCTCTCACCAGAGCTTCAACATTGATCTAATAATATCCTAATTATATGCTAGACCCCACGCCTCAGCGTTCATCAAACAGAAATAAGAATTCGTCATTTTCATTGTAGAGGGAAAACATGTGGATTGTGTGGAAACTTCAATCAAAACCAAAATGACGACTTCCGCCTCCCGTCCGGAGCAGTGGTCACCTCGGCAGATGAGTTTGGACTGTCCTGGAAGTATTGGGGCGACAACACCTGCACTGACGGCTGCGGCTCTTCCTGCCCTCGTTGCAACGACGAAGGACCGGCCAGAACCAGCTGTAACGTGATCGTAGCAACTGATGGTCCCTTCAGTTTCTGCCACGACGAAGTGGACCCCACGCCTTATTTTAACGACTGCGTGTTTGACGTCTGCGTGTCAGGGAATCGAGCTCATGACATTCTGTGCAGGGCCATCGAAGCCTATGTCAGTGCCTGTCAGTCTGCCAATGTCCGAATTCTCCGGTGGAGAGAGATCGCCACCTGCAGTAAGTCCACGCTACCATCCATCCCCGAGTTATTACCTCGTCACCTCAAACAGCACGTTTTGATTTGTGCGACTCGTTTGTTATTGTTTTTTCAGCCATCACCTGTCCGGCCAACAGCCATTATCAGCTGTGTGGCACCGACTGTGGTCACACCTGCGCCAGCAATGTAGACGACACCTGTGATCAAGGATGCGCCGAGGGATGTTTCTGTAATGAGGGCTTCGTCCGCAGCGGAACAGAATGCATCAATGTGGAAAACTGTGGCTGCCAGTACGATGGTTTTTACTACAACGTAAGTCCAAGTGCTGTTCATCAGTTCAACTCTGGACACTGACGACAAGTCAGGTGTTCAAGGGTCTATTTGTCAAGTAGCTTCACTACATGAAGTGATACCGTAGACTTGAAGTACTGCAGCAGTAAAAACAGCACATTTAAAGTGTCTTCTCCCCCGTTGCAGGCTGGCGAGAGCTTCTGGACCGATGGTTGCACTCAGCGATGTGAATGTCACGCTCCTAATGACCTGCGCTGCTCCTCGGAGTCATGCACTCCTTCACAAGCATGCATAATCAGAGACGGGCATCTGGGCTGCTTTGATGCCATGACGACGTGCACAGTATGGGGTGACCCGCACTACATCTCCTATGATGGAGCGGTGGCTCATTTCCAGGGAACCTGCACCTACATCGTAACTGAGAGTGTCCACCAGGAGGCGAGCGACAACTGGTTCAGGGTGGAAGCCACCAACAACCACCGCGGTAACAACCGTGTGTCCTTCGTATCAGCAGTTGACGTGTATCTGTCCAATCAGATGGAGACGACGATCGTGAGGATCGGAGCCAACAGAGTGGTATCGGTACGTCTCTCTGTCTCTTCCACATTGGTTTGAATTGTTGTGAATTAAAAAAAAAGTCCTCATCACATTCTCTCTCTCTTTACTGTCATTTCTTCAGGTCAATGGAAGTCATGTGTCTCTACCGGTAACTGTCACCGCCTTGGCACAGGTTCAACTGCAGGGAAGCTACGTGGTGGTAGATGCTGGCGACATGATCGTCCAGTATGATGGTGTCAGCAACCTGCTGGTCAGGCTGACGCAGGATCACAGGAACAGAGTCACAGGGATGTGTGGAAATTTCAACATTGATCCTGCAGATGACAGGATGCTGCCCGCGGGCACACTGGCTAGCAGCGACAACGAGTTCGGACAGGGCTGGAGGGCAGCATCAAGCCAAACAGGGTAACCTTTTATTAAGTTGGTAGTGAATGACCAAATATGCGCCATGTCCCTTTACACCACCCCCCCCATACTCCCAACCACAAACCCTAACCCTAATCCAACACTATTTTGTTAATCTTGAAATGACCTCTAAACCGGTCAGCGCATCCGTCCAACGATGTAGCTGTTACCACGACTACAACCAAAACCACACCCCAACACACACTACACACACACACAGGGTGTTCAGAATGAGAACGTGTCCGATGTCTGTTCCAGATGTGGGTCAACCGATGAACCATACGACGACGATCTGAGCAACTGCCGCTTCAGGGATGAATTCGCCGCCATCTGCAGCATGATCACAAACACCACCGGTCCATTCAGCGACTGCCACCTGCACTCTGACCCCCAGCCGTTTGTGACCGCTTGCGTCTATGACCTCTGCATGTACGACACCGATCATGACAGAAGGTTCCAGACCATGCACTGCAGAGCCATCGCAGCCTACGAACAAACCTGCTCTCTTTTGGGACTGGACATTCCTGAATGGCGCGCGGCTGTACACTGTGGTACGTTTGTGAAACTGCGGCACGTCAGGTCATGCAGTTGAGGATTCCTTTGATCACTTCTCATTCTACTTTCCTATTTTCTCTCTTTTAAAGCTGAGTCCGACCCTTGCGAGAACCTGAACTGCACTGACTTTGAGTGGTGCGGGGAGAAGGACGGTGTCTACGGCTGCTTCTGCGATGAAAACCACCACCGTGCTAACAATGAGAGCTACGGTGAGCCTGCTGTTCAATTACAATTATGGTACAATGACTAGAAGTTAGAGGGAAAATTCACCTTCCGAGCCTTAGGAATACGATATACCCAGGTGCACATTCGTACCAGACGATCTTTCTCAACAAATATTAAACGTTGTCCAATCGTCCTGGTCTGTCAGGGAGCATTTTAGGTAGAAATACAATTGGATGGTTTTCAGGCACCCTCTGTGTCAGCTACCCAGACTGTACCACCTCTGGTCTTGGTCCCATATTTTTCCTTGGGAAAAACCATGAGGGCAGGAACACCCGATTTTCAACTGATGTAGTATTTCTTATTTACTCTAAGTACTTGTAGTACTCAGAGTAACTAATAATAATAATGTAATAATATTAACACCTCCTTCTTCTCCTCCTCCTCTCCTTCACAGACTTCTCCCTCACTTGTGCCAGCAGTACCGGAACCATGTCTATGTCCAGGTGCCAACTGTTTGAAGCTGGCTTCCACTCTGAGGCACTCCACCTGCGTGATGAAGAATGCGGAGGTCATCTCCAGGACGGACGGCTGGTGTTCCACTTCGACAACGATGACAACGTGTGCGGGACGTCTCTGCGGGTATATACCAATCACCTGTGGTCAAACGATGGGACGTGGATGATTGGCGTCCACATCCGTTGATCAGCCATCTCAATCTGTGGTCTAACTTTACAGAGCAACGGAACTCACTTCATCTACGAGAACGTGATCCAGGGAGATGTGGATCCGCATGAAGAAGTCATCAGCCGCCAAAGGAACATCCACCTGCAGTTCAACTGTGAATACCCTCTGAGTCAGGCCCTGTCCATGTCTGTGGGCATCAACCCCCTGGAGAGGTAACTTTTCCCATCGTCTTTTCTCTAGCACCAAGCGTTCCGTCAGGTCGGACAAAACAATAAGAAGTTCTCCCAAGCATTAGAACTCCACATCTGAACGACTGTTTCTCTACAGCATCATCAACAAGAGGCTTCCCTCCGGTGAGGGCCGGTACCGAGTCAGGATGACTCCCTACGAGGATGCCTCCTTCACAAGTCCAATAACCGGTGCCGAAAACGTGGAGATGGAAATAGACGAGGTCTTGTACGTGGAGGTCGCCACTGAAGGAGTGGACGAACGGCAGCTCTCCACCATCATTACCGCATGTTGGGCCACACCAGTCAACGTCCCTGACTACCCTGTTCGCTGGGATCTTATACAGAATGAGTAAGTACTAATAAACTAAACTAACTGAACACCCCACCATTGTCATGGAGTTAAATTATTTTCATCGTCCTTTTTTTCCAGGTGTCCCAATCCACTAGATGGAACCGTAGAGGTGATTCAGAACGGCGTCTCCAGCGCCGCGCGTTTCTCCTTCAGGATGTTCACCTTCCCCAACAACACCTCCGTCTACCTGCACTGTCAGATCCAGCTCTGTCTCCTGAGGGATAACGACTGCACTCCTGTAAGTGTGTGTGTGTGTGTGTCTGCAGACCGTCCACCACCGACGTGGCATCACTAACCTCGCTCGCTCTTTCC